TTGATGGAGAGAAGAAATGGAAGAGGCAAAAGAAAGCCTGCTTTCCACTAATTGAGGTGATGCTCATGTGTTAAATGCTGCAAGGAGCAGCAGAGGTCAAGGTGGGGAAAAGACCACTGAGTTTGATAAATGAAGGTCATTGGGAGCCTTTGAGGAAGTAGCTTTAGCTGAATGTTAAAAACATATCAGACTTTTGTGAGTTGAGGCTCGAATAGGAGGTGAAGAAATAGACGGCTTAATTTCTGTAGGGTCTCTGCATATGGGTTTTGGGTTTTCACTGTAATGCATAGAATGTGCTCCATCAGAATTTTAGCTCTAATACAATTCCTTGATACCCAGACACCATCCGGCTGCAGATTCTTGACCTCACCAACAGGCCCCTGAATTGAAATCTCTGGAGTGGTAGGCTTGGGGATCTGCATTTTAAACAAGCTCTGTAAGGATTTGTATGCTTCCCAAAGAGTGAAGGACTGAAAGTGCGTCCCTTCTAAACAAACAACTCCCTGCCATCAAGCCAATTCTTCCTCCTGACAAACCGATAGGACAGGGTGGAACTGCCCCTTTGGGTTTTGGAGCCTTTTAATCTTTACGGGAGCAGACAGTTTCATCTTCCTAGCTCTGAGGCACTGGTGGGTTTGAACCTCGGACTTTGTTGTTAGCGCCTCAATGTGTAGCTCATGACACCACCAGGGCTCCTTGGTCATTCCCTTGGAGCCCTGGTGACCTTGTGACTGAGAGTTGTGCTGCTAACTGCAAGGGCAGTAGTTCGAAACCACCAGCCACTTCTTGGGAGAAAGACAGGGTTCTCTACTGCAAGAAAGAGTTATAGTCTAAGCACATTGGGCCAGATGGCGATGCTTGGAAGCTGGGACATTGCTGCTGCCATTGATCTCCTGGAGTGCCTCTATGGGGCTGGAGCCAAAAAAGTAATGTGGCTGAAATTGTTGATAGTGAAAGAATGGCTGAGCTGGAAGCCCAAATCTGTCATCAGATTGAGTGCTATTTTGGTGACCTTAATTTGCCTTGGGACAAATTTTAAAGGAACAGATCAAATTAGATGAAAGCTGAATACCACTGGAGAACATGATAAAATTCACCAGGTAAAAGCATCTAAAAACAGGCTTTAATGTCATAGTCGAAGTATGGGGAAAATCAAAAGTGGAGCTCAAGGACATCAAAGAAGACAGACTAAATAAGATCTCCAAGTGAACCCCTCCCTGAAGTGACTGATGAGTTTAAAATGATATGAAAAAAAAACAAAAAAACAGATCTGGGGGAACGGGGAGGGAGGGGAAAATGAGGAGCTGATACCAAGGGCTCAAGTAGAAAGCAAATGTTTTGAGGATGATGATGGCAACAAATGTACAAATGTACTTGCCACAATGGATGTATGCATGGATTGTGACAAGAGTTGTATGAGCCCCCAATAAAATGATTTTTTTTAAAGTGTTAAAAACGAGATCTGTTAATATTAAAGGCTTCCCAACTGATGCAACTCTTGATGCCATAAAAGAATGGTCAGAAGGCAAAGGTGAAACCCTAAAGACTCAGATGAGAAGAACATTGCACGGAGCACTTAAGGGACCAATGTTCGTTGTTTTGAGAGCATTGAATGTGCTAAGGAGTTCATAGAAACCCCGGGCCAGAAATATAAAGACACAGACTGGCTAATACTTTTTAAGGATGATTACTTTGCAAAATAAGAATGACGAAAGAAAGCAAAATAAAGTTTAGGCTAAATTATGAGCAAGGAGGAGAACAAAAGTCATCGGGAGATGCTGAAATGAAATCTCTAGAAGAAAAGGAGAGCTGCTTGCTGGAGTTTTCAGGCAACTTGGATGATCAGACCTGCAGAGAAGCCTTGCACATCCTTTTTGCAAGCCATGGAGAAGTCAAACGGATAGACTTTGTCAGAGGGAGCCAAACAGGGAGCCATTCTATTTAACGAGGAGGTTAAAGAAGCCCTAGAAAAATCCAAAGATGCAAGAAACAATAATGTACAATTAAAAAAAACAGAGAAGTGATGTGATGTGGGAAGTACTAGAAAGAGAGATGGAAAATAGCAGCATGGAGAAAAAATGGTGGAAGATCAACCAGAATCCCAGAATATATGGTCACAGATTTAAAGGAAAGAAAAAGGGAAATACAGTTGCTCAGGCTGGGTTGCTTAAAGGAAACGTGCAGCGTCAGGGCAAGAAAATGAAAGTCAGTGGTGAGGATGCACGTGTGGATGTGGTGGTACAGCTGGAGCAGAGCAAAGAGCAAGCGAAGAAGCAAACAAAGAACAGCCGGCTTCCAAATACCAGCAAACTGAAAGTGGTACGGGGGGCATCCAGCAATTTACGTTTTATTTTTGCTTAATCTGCTTCTCTCTTTGGATATTTTGAAAAAGAAAATAAAATCAGGTTCACTTCCATGTCCTAATTATAAGAAAGGAAAATATTTTTGTTGCTTTGTCCTTTTGTAATCACATGAGGATTTTTTCATGTATAGCTCTGTGATAACAGATGATTCAAACGGAAGGTTCTTCCACCTAATTACCTTTTCATTATGAGGATATACTAGTGTAAAATTTAATAAAATATATGCTATATAAAAAACAACCACCACGACAAAAAAGAGTTACAGTCTCAGAAACCAGTAGGGGCAGTTCTACCCTGTCCTATAGGGTTACCATGAATTGGCATTGACTTACTGGCAGTGAATTTGGTTTGGCTGGTCATTCCCTTAGACCACAATAATTGCCTGAGCAGTATGAAAAGAATCAGGTGGAGTGTAGGAGAAACTCCTTGAAATTCTATTTTTGACATTAATTTATAGTAGGGAGGAAAGAAATTAAACATTAACATTTAAATATGGGTTGACAAAATATTCATTCATAATTTGTGGAGGGGGTATTATGTGCCAGGGACTCTGAGAATATGACCGTAAAAAACAAAGTCATGGAGCTTACATTCTTGGTAGCAGGAGGTATATGCGATAAACAAACAACTCAGCATAGAGTGTAACGTAAGGTAACAAATGCGATACAGGGGAAGAGGTACAAAAATGTAATCCTTCCCCCAGTGACCACTTTGGCTGCTAGGGAAGATGTTAGGGAAATGTTCCCTTGGACCAGAGACCTGAAGGTCACAAGAGAGCTAGTCACATGGCTATCGAGAGCTAGAACACAATGTCCAGAGGAAACAGTGAAACAGAAGCTCACATGTAGAACTGAATGTGTTAAGAAGCCAGTGTGGCTGCAGGGGAATGAATGAGAGGGAGAAGAGGCATATGTGACATCAGGGAATTGGAGGTGTGGGTGACAAATGTAGGACCTTGTAGGCCATGGTCTAGACTTAAGCGTATTCTTCAAATGAACTATAAAGCCAGTGGAGCAGAGGATCTTCCAGCATCTAGTTGTTGGGCTGATGAGGAAGACCAATGAGAGGGACATGAGACAGACAGCGGATAAGAGAAAATGGCAGCACAGAGCAAAGAGTAACCAACAATTGTCCTGAATACTTCTCACCGATCCAGTAAAACGGTGATTTTCTTTTCTTTTCTCCCCCCCTCCCATGGTAATTTCTTTTTTTTTCCCTTTAAATTATGTAATTCTGGTGGCATGGTAGGAACTCAAGCCCGACTGAGTTCACAAGAAAACTAGGAGAGTAGATACTGGAATTAGCCAGACATTTTAGAGTTTAGATGTAAAGGGGCAGAGAGAAATTGAAAAGCAAAGATGTTGCTAAGAGGTACTACTGATCCGAGCCCTGGTATTTTCAAGTGCATATGAAAGTTGGACATTGAACAAGGATGGCTGAAGTAGCAGTGATACATTTGAACTGTGGTGCTGGCGAAGAATATTGGCAGGACTGTGGACTTCCAAATGAACAAACAAATTGATCTTGGCAGAGGTACGGCCAAAATACTCCTCAGAAGCAAGGATGGCAAGATTTCATCTCACATACTTCGGACCTGTGGTCAGGAGGGACCTGTCCCTGGAGAAGGACATCATGCTTGGTAAAGCAGATGAGCAGTATTTAAATGAAAGCTCTACCCTTTAGATTTTCATATTTATCGACTATTTCAAATTGTTGCTTCTTGTTTTTTTCCAATTCAAATGTTCTTGAACTCTTTTGCTCCCCAATGTAATTCTTTTCTTTAGGATTTGAATCTAATTGGATGAAATCCCAACACCACAGATAATTGAAGACTCTGGGTACTTCCTGGTATTGAGGGAAGGCTTTGAACACAAAACTTAATTGTCAGCATTAAGTAATGAGGACGTTTTCAATATCTCAAACCCTAACAGAAGGCCTTCAACCTAGCTACTCCCATCCACTAAACTCACGCATCTGAAGAAGCCTGGTGTTCCGCTGCCTTCCTGCTGGACTGCTTACTGCCTTTCCTGCTGGGAGGGCTAGAAAGTACGTAGTTCTGCTTTCTCTCCACGATCAAATCAAATCTAAAAATTAATGGTCTGAATTAAATCCCACTTGATTCATAAATTCTTTCAGACCTCACAGCATGAAGTAATTTGTGCTCTTTAGGTACATGCTACTCATACCATTTGGCAATTCAATATATTCAGCCTTGTAAAGTCTCTTCTTTTTGTGATTGCTAATATTATTTAAGTCTTGCTTACCATCTTATTATTGGCAATATTTATATCCTAACTCTACAACTAAAATAAAAGATTGTTGAGAGAAGTTTAGTCTTATTATTTATCTGGCACTATACCTTGCACATAATTACTATAAATTATAGATCTATATTACTAAAGCTCTTACTCATTTCAATATATATGCACGAACACAAGCATTTAAAAGGAGATATTTTCCTAAAGCTATTTTGTTAAGATGGTAACAAAATATCTGTAACTGACTATATAACGTAGTACCAACACTGGAAAGTGAACAATGTAATACTTCAGTCAAAATCTCTTTCAGGTTATTTCAACAATTCTTACATTTGAAATAACTACTTAAAATGGTTTCCATAAGGATTGAATTACTTACCTCACAAAAACTTACATAGTAGCACAAAAGAAATACAACAATATGAACAAGCTTCATGTTGGAGGAACTCTGTCAGGGCCTGGGTCTCAGCTGAGGACTATCTCCACACCAGATATCCTTTTTAAATTTAATTTTTAACTCCTGAAAAAATATTTAAAGAAGGCACACCTCCTAAAGAGATTTGTACTTTTGAACTTGACAAAGAATTTGGCTAAAATCCAGAGTTTTACCGTAACTGAAACCAAAATTGGCCTTCTCAGTAAATAGCTGAGGGAAGGTAACCAATAGGAACCTTCTTTCCTCCAGCTTTTCCACCTTGGTACTGAGGGGTGCCTCAGTTCTGCTTTTCAGTGAAAACCGACATGACACTGGAAACAGATGTTTTATGCCTTTTGGTACAACATAGTTACTTCTTTTATCTTTGAAGCTTGAAGGCTATATATGGCAGTAAGAAGAGAATGCCTATCAATCAAAACTAAAAAGCAAGAGGGAACCGATTACATGGAACTGTGTGTGACCTCCTCCCTGGGGGACAGACAACCGAAAAGTGGGTGAAGGAAGACGTCGGACAGGGCAAGATATGACAGAATACCCATTTATAAACTACCAAGAGCTCATGAGGGAGGGGGGAGCGGGGAGGGAGGGGAAAAATGAGGACCTAATGTCGGGGGTTTAAGTAGAGAGAAAATGTTTTGAGAAACGATGTACAAATGCGTTTTACACAATTGATGTGTGTATGGATTGGGATAACAGTTGTATGAGCCCCTAATAAAATGTTAAAAAAAAGGGTGGGGAGAGGGGGGAAATGAGGAGCTGATACCAACGGCTCAAGTAGAAAGCAAATGTTATGAGAATGATGATGGCAACAAATGTACAAATGTGCTTGACACAATGGATGGATGGATAGATGGTGATAAGAGTTGTATGAACCCCCAATAAAATGATTAAAAAAACAACAACAAAAAAGCCCCACTGCCACCAAAGCTATTCTGATTCATAGTAAGCCTACATAGGGTTTCCAAGAGTGTAAATCTTCACGGAGCAGCTTCATCTTTCTCCCTCAGTGCAGCTGATGGATTTGAACCAACAACTTTGAGGTTAACAGGCTTTGCCCACCACCACCAAGGTTCTTGCGCATCAATAAAAGGTTATATGAAATAGACTAAAAGCGTACAGAAAACCATTTATATGACTTGGGTTTTTTAACGAGTATTTTTGTCCCTACGCCTGTGGTTGGTGCTGGTGGTTCACACAGTCAGCTGCTCGCTGAAAAGATGGAGTTTTTTGTTTTTCATATATTTGAAATGAACTTGTCACTAAAGATCCAAGTCCATTTCAGTTTTACTTTCCTTCTTTATTTTCTGCCACTTAGGCCAATGTTTAGGACAAAGGGATAAGAAATCTGGAGGGATTTTTGTTTTGTTTTTAAAGAACAATATGTGTACTTTTGTACACTGTATGTAGTTATACAATTCATCTCAATAAATTAAATCAACAATATCCCAATAAACCCTCTGTAAATGTGGTTCTTTCTTTCCCCTACCTTTCTCCTTCCTTCCTCAATATCTTATCCCTCCCCTCTCCCTGTCCCGCCCCTGTCCCCAGCCACCTTATTTTATAGTCACCCAAACCTCGGTGTATAAACCGTGTTTCTTCTTCTCCACATCTCCTTATAATACTGATGTTATTAAATACTTTATTTTTATAAGATTGGCTGTTTGCTAAGCATAATGTTCTCTACTTTTGTCCATGTCTTGCAGTGTTTAATATAACTATATTGGTTTTTACTGGTGCACAATATTCCATTGTATGAATGTACCAGAGTTTGTTCATCCATTGCTCTATAATCGGCATTTGGGGCTGTTTCCATGTTTTTGCTATTGTGGAATTTGCTCTATTAAACACAGGTGTTCTAAGTGGAGAGGAAATGTTTTGAGAATGATGAGGGCAATGAATGTAAAAATGCGCTTTACACAATTGATATTTGTATGGATTGTGATAAGAGTTGTATGAGCCCCTAATAAAATGTTTTAAAAAAATAATAAAATAAACATAGGTGTTCGTGCTGTAGTCTTAATTTCTTTAGTGCATATACTGAGTAGAGAGAAATCACTGTATCATCAGGTATTTGTATTTGCATTTGTTTAAGGAAGGGCTACACTGATTTCTAGAGTGGTTGTACAATTCTACAGTTCCACTAGCAATATACAAATGGTCCAATCTCTCCACATCCTCTTTGGTATTTATTACTTTGTTTTACTGAATTTTGCTAAAAGTGGTCTGTGTGAAGTGGTATCACATGGTTGCTTTAGCTGCTAACAGAAAAGATGGAGATTTAAGTCCACTCAGAGGTGCCTTGGAAGAAGGACTAGCAATCTACTAGGGGAAAAGCAGGCTTTCAAAATCTTATGGAACATTGTTCTGCTCGGACACTCATGGGATTGCCATGAATCAGCATTGGCTCAATGGCAACCAATTTGGTTTGCTTCTGATTTTTCCCCAGGACCAACGATTGTGTAGGATATATTTGCACGTGTGAAGTAAATTTGTGACAGCTGGAATGCTATGAGAGCTCTCCTGAAGCAGACAAGGGACAGTTTGGTGCAAGATCTATATTAGGGATCAACACCTGTGAAAGGAGTGGAACAGAAGCAAAAGCAAGCAGAGGGAGAGCTCGAACCATGAAGCAGGCTTGCCGAAGTCTTGGCTAACGCAGTCAGAAGTCTGGAGTGAGTGTTGTGTGGTAGCATCCCTGAATGAGGACACAAAGGCTGGGCAGGTCTATGGAGCCTAAATTGTTCAGTCACCTGAAGGCTGAAGCCCCAGGAAGCACATGACCCTGGCTAAGGAGGCTTTCTGTAGCTGGGGCAAACCCTGAACGATCTGACAACTATTCAATGTCAGAAGGGATCTGCTGACTACACCTTTCAAAGCTAGACAGCACACCATCCGTGGGGATGTATAGCAAACTCATCTCTGTGTCTTCCACAGTCCACCCTTGCACCACTTAAAAATAAAATCATTTTATTGGGGCTCATACAACTCTGCTCACAATCCATACACACATCAATTGTGGAAAGCACATTTGTACATTTGTTACCCTCATCATTCTCAAAACATTTGCTCTCCACTTAAGCTCCTGGCACCAGCTCCTCATTTTCCAACCTTCCTCCCTCCTTCATGAACCCTTGATAATTTATAAATTATTATTTTGTCATATCTTGCCCTGTCCGACGTCTCCCCTCACCCACTTTTCTGCTCTCCGTCCCCCAGGGAGGAGGTCATATGTAGATCCTTGTGATCGGTTCCCCCTTTCCACCCCACCCTCCCTTCACCCTCCCGGTATCACCACTCTCACCACAGGTCCTGAAGGGATCATCTGTCCTGGATTTCCTGTTTCCAGTTCCTATCTGTACCAGTGTACATCCTCTGGTCTAGCCATATTTGTAAGGTAGAATTGGGATCATGATAGTGGGTGGGGGGTGAGCATTTAAGAACTAGAGGAAAGTTGTATGTTTCATCGTTGCTACTTGCACCCTGGCTCCTCTCCTCCCTGTGATCCTTCTGTAAGTTGCCTTACACCTTTTAGTTGTACTTCTACAACATGTTTCCAAGTAACTGCTCCAAAGTTCTGGTGGCTTCCCTATTGGGGAGTTAACTGAGAAGAGAGAACTAGAGAAATACAGACCCATGACATTGCAGTTGACCTTGAGGCTTATCCTTTCTAGAATTCCTTCATCCTGAGCTACCACCTCTACTGGCCTCAGTGGCTTACCTAATGTTGTACCCTAGAGCCTTCTTGAGAGATTATCTAAGCTCCTGTTTCTGCCACTTGACTGTGGTGTAGAGGTACCTAAGTAGTTCAGATGGGCTATGCATGTGTTCCTTAACGCCCCAGGGGATTCTAGCAGCTCCACTTCCTCTGTGTGATCAGGGCCAATTACTCTTGGCAAGATGGTGAATTCTCTTCTTCCCTACTGGTTCAATGTGCTTATACAGGCACACATTCTTTTACTGTGGCTTTGCTTTGTTGTGCTTCATATACATATATGTGCTTTGTTTTCAGTAAAATATAAAACTCAAATAAATTCATACCTAAGAAGAAATAGGAACGGTAAAGATTTTAACCCTTCAAAGACATCCAGTGAGTTTTAACCACCTTTTAAGAGGTATTGTTCCTTTGCTAAACTTTCTTTAAAAAAAAAAATTGTATTGGGAGCTCTTACAGCTCTTATAACAATCCATACATCAATTGTATCAAGCATATTTGTACAGATCTTGCCATCATCATTTCCAAAACATTTTCTTTCCACTTGAGCACCCCCCCACCCCCGCCAGCCTCGTGAATCCTTGATTATATATTGTTATTAGTATTTCGTATCTTGTGTCCCTTGTTTCCCTTCATCCAAATTTCTGTTATTTGTCCCCCTTTTTTGGGGGGGTGTCCCTCTTTCCCCCCCTTCCCCTTCCCCAACCAGCCCCTACCCTCTTGCTATCACTGCTCCCACTGCTGCTCCTGAGGGTTTATCTGTCCCGAATTCCACCACCTTTTCAAAGTATAGAAAACCATGGAAAGCGCCTCAGCTTGTTTGATGAGCCTAGTAGTACTGAACTAGATGAGCCTCAAAAATAATCAACACACTAATCTTTTATTCTATGCAATAATCCTAAATAAAGTGCTAGCAAACTATATACATCAATGTGATAGTTAGGTTTTTTGTCAACTTGATTTGGCCAGGATTTTTCCACACACTGTATTCAACTCCATGATGGGGTCTTCTGTGAGCAGCCCAGCAGTTGGGAGAAGACTAGGGTAGGTACTAACTACCCCCTTAGAGTTGCCACAGTATTAATATAATAGAAAGTAAATTTTCTAGGGAGTGTGGACTATTTATTGCTATTTAAGCAGGCTTCTTGAGGGGTCTGGGTCCTGCATCTGTGTCCTTGACCTCCAGTTCTTTGGACTTGAGTCATTTTACCCATTTGCCTGAAACAACTGAAAGGAAAATATAATAAATGGCTTCTGAGCACTGAGAGTTTCTGCAGTTTATGTCTCATCCCTCCCATAATCTCCTTGAAATACAACATTTAAAAAATAAAAAAGAAATT